TTCTCTAGTCTCTCCTCGTAGGGCTTGGTCAGCAAGCCCTTAACCATACGAGTGGCCCTTCTCTGGACCCTCTCCAGGTTATCCGCATCCCTCTTGAAGTGCGGTGCCCAGAATTGCACGCAGTACTCCAACTGCGGCCTGACCAGCGCCCGATAGAGGGGAAGTATCACCTCCTTGGTTCTGTTCATCATGCATCTGCTGATGCACGATAAAGTGCCATTAGCTTTTCTGATGGCTTCGTCACACTGCCGACTCATGTTCATCTTGGAGTCCACTAGGATGAGATGTCGAATGCATTTCTTAATGATCTGGAGGTCAAGTGAATATTTGCTTAGCAAATATATGTATAGTACAGAATTATTTAGCCTGATCATGTCCTCTGAGCATCATGAATATTTTCAGGTTGACCTAATAAAGCTAGACAGTGGGGCAACACAATGGCCAATGATATTCAATGTGGACAGGTGCAAATAGTGCACACTGGAGGGAAGAGTACAATGAGCTCATGGGCACTGATGGGCTCTAAATTAAAACTAACTGCATGTGACAGGATCAAGTCCTTGTAGATAGCTCAGTAGAAACATCTGTTCAATGGGTAGTAGTGGTTAAGAGTGCAATCAAAGGACCAAGCTGAGTGAAGACGTACTGAATGTGGTTTAGCAGCATTAGATAAATAGATGACACAGCCTCACCAAAAGAATTTAGAAAGGGTGTAGAGAAGGACAATTAAAATTACTGGATGCATGGAAATAATTCCACACATGACATTAGAGATTAAAGTTTCTTAGCACAGAGAAGAGAAAAAAAAACAGGGACATAATAGAGTTATATTAAAATAAAACAGACATGAATTAGTTGCCAAAATCCTGATAAGAAGCCCACTGAAGTCAAGGGGACTCTTTCTGATGACTTCAGAGGGCTGTGGATCAGACTCTAGCTGCTGTGCAAGATGTAGGAAGAAACCATCATCCCTATCGCACTGCCTTTGGTGAGAGGTTTGCCTCTTCCTTTAAAGCATTTAACAGTAAGCACTTCCAGAGATTAATTGGAACTCCAGACTGGCAAATCATGCATTCCATGAGAATTAAAATCAGTCTTGGAGGCAGGGACCATGAGCAACTTGAAATCATCCTAGCAAGGCACAGAGGAATCACAGGATGCAGCAAAACTGATGTGGGAAGAGGGGACTAGGTTACCCCCATCTGCTTACAACAGAGTCTTTACAACGCTGTGTAAAGTGGGGGGAGGGGCAGGGGGAAGCCAGGCAGATCCCTGCAGCCTCTGCTCAGCTCCAGCCAGGGAGCAGAGGGGAGGGGCCAGCTCTGCTGTGGAGCAGAGAGCCCAGCCCAGCCCAGAGAGCATGCCAGGATGCTGGAGGAGTCTGATTTAACTTAAACCAGGAAGGGGTCTGGGACAGACATTGCATAAACCAGTTTGACCCAAATCAGATAAGTCTGATACTACATTCAACCAGGTTTATCTCAAACTGGTTTCAGCCATTTTCAGACTGGCTTATGTGCACTGAACATCTGTTCTGTTACAGGTTTAAACCAGTTTCTGATGACTTAAACTAGTTTGTGTGTAATGCCTGTCCCTAGCCCTAAAGGTAACCAAAATGCATTATGAATACAATTTGTTAATGCTTCTGGGTGCTTCCAAACTGGATGTAAAAGGATTCTACCCTGGAAATGGAAACGTGAGAGACAACCAAACAAGGATTCAGAGCTTTTGTTAAGACTTACAGGAACAAGGTCAGTGCAGTAACAAAACAGAGCAAGGTGGTGTTGCCGCAGGGAGCTGGAAAGGCTTCTACAAGTGAGAAAGCAGGGCAATAAAACCAGGCTGTTTGCAATTCATTTAAATAGGCTGGGTATAAACAACCTCACAAGGAATAAACACTGCCTGAAGGGACTATCCAAAGAGCAATGGAAAAGCAATGAGCAGCTGGTGCCCCATGGATTGCTGCTAGGCCTGCTTTTATTTAACAACTTTGTTAACAATCTGGAAAAAAGAGTGAGCGCACTGTCCTGGCATTTACAGTTGATTTTGAATGGAGGGTCAACACTAAGCAGGGCAAAACAATAACATCAAGTGGCCTAGGAAGATTAGGCACTTGGGCAGGATGTTTCAATCACTTTGGAGAAATACAGCTTGCGTGCCTGGGGAAACATAATTCAAAGCACGAACCACTGGTGAAAAGGAGAGACATGGAAGTCATTGATGGATTATTGAGTAAGAGGAGACAGGAAATGACACTTGAGTTGGAAATGTGAGGTGGCTGTGGCTGGGTTGGACTATGTCATGGCTAGGGGAGAATCCATGTAGATTTTAATCACCCCATCCCATGCTGAAGGGAGAAAAACGATGTTGGTGCTAGTGATGGTATTAACATGAGTTTGACAAGTGAAAATGGAGCCTACCCTTAAGTATATACTGTAGCCCTATAATGAAAGGTCTGTGATCAGCAAGAATGCTTAAAGAAACTGATCTCAAATGATCTAGTTGGGCTCTGCTAGAAGCCTTTTGTAGGCTTTGGTGCTTTGAAAATATTATGGCAGCCTTTGAATGAATCTTTCAATAAGATCCTCATTGTCCTGTAATTAAATGCTGATTTCCCTGGGTCTCAGCTTGCTGCACAGTCAGATCATGAAAGACCAGAAGGTGCAGTAATTTCCATTAGGGCAACCACTAGCAGCTTCCTAGGTAGAGCCTTATCTCCTGCTGCTAGTAGGGAGGATCCCTGTGGTTTTCCCATCTTATTCTGGATGTAACCAGGGAAAGTCTGATGGGATTCTTATAGGATAGCTTTTACCATGCTAGTGAGGATATCGTAAAGCACCAAGCCCTAAATATGGCCTCTGTGAGGAGGTAACATGAGTCACTTGCCAGGAACCTCATAATTCTATCTATTTTGCATATACCTTCTTTTTAAATGAATACTAAATGCAGACTGACAGGGTCCTTGATGGGATTTATATAATTTTCCAGAGAGAGAAAGAAACAGCTTGGTGGTTGCATTCATTGCCATTAAAACCTAAAGTTAATTAGTGCTTAAGACCATGGTGATAAATGCTATATAAATGGCACCAGCCAGACAGCTTTGCCATCACCCAACAGGGACAAGAGCCACAGCCCATGGCCACCTTCATTCCATGTTCTGGTTGCTGTGGCCTCAGCTTACAGGCACCTTTTCAGACAGGCGTTTGAGAACCTGCCTCTGAGTTGTGCAGGTGATTTGTCTCCCCGTTATAAAGGTAGCTTGACAGAAGCTTGTGTGCCTAGGCAAATCCTAGATAGTCAGCTGTGCAGCAAATGTGTGCAAGCAGCAACAGCGGGTACATCTAAACGGTGTCACTGTATGCACGGAAATGCCGTATATAGGGGCAAGGTCTTCATAGTGGTGCCTGTCCACCCCTTGCTGTGGCGGTCCCAGGGCAGGCTTGTCTTTGCAGACCCACTGGAATGTGTGAAGGGACACAGGGAAAGGCTGCAGGCACCGAGACGCCCTTCCCTGGGGCTCGGTGCCTCCTGCT